TTCACTCTGTATATATATATATATATATATATATATATATATATATATATATATATATATATATATATATATATATACATGTCGACGGTTCTGACTTTACAGCATCGTTTTAGCGATAGCGTAATAAAACGCCATTATGGTCGTACCATTCGCGCAATTTATCCATGTTGCGGTACACGGATAACAATGTTTGACGACAACGACGACGAAGACGACAACACCTTTGCCGCCGCCGTCGTGAGCACAGTGTCTTCCTCTAATTGCATTTTCTACTTCCGCCGACGGGCTTCTCTTTTGAATGCCCGCCGCCTTTGACGAGCGACGCGTCAGGTCTCTTTACGCCACGATGCGCATCGTGCATCTCTCGGCACTGTTCTCAAATTGTCTTCGTCGGTAATATGTGCGTGCAAATTTGCGACGTCGAGTGCTCGAACGAATTTTGCCCTTCGTTACGACGTGAGCATTTGAAAAAAAAAGACGAGGAGAAAAAACCAAATCGAAGAACCCTCCGTGTGTCATTCCGATCTCTCTATCTCTCGCGGAACTGTATTAATTAGCGCGCGACACGTGTGCGCTAAATGAATACGCGAGCTTTATCATCCCCTGGGCTCTGAAACTGTGCAAGTTTCAACACCCGTAATATTCGCACGCACGTATACGCGCGCGCGCGCGAGCGAGCAAGCGCGAGAGCTCAGAGGCGAGTTAATAAACAGCACATGAAATCTTCCATTAGGCGAATCGCTCTAGCACCATGCAATTAGCACGAGCCGTAAATTAGATATCGGCTTCCGGTCAAGCGCCGCGCCAAGAATACGAGCACCGTCCGGCGAGCGGGCGGGCGGGCTCGCGCACGCGCGAATTCAATTTATACGTGGGCATTTAATCGCGCACCGTGTTTGGGCAGTTTAATCGTTTTAACGCCCCGTCCTCGGCCAAATTGGATGTATGCGCGGATTAATTACGTTTGCTCATAATGACGGGATCGCGGGACCGTAAATGTCGCGTCGTGAAATTCGGTAGAAAGTAACGACCCGATTAGGAAGATTAATTTGTATACCAGCTGTGTATAACGGAGCGCGAGACTCGTCGTCTCTCCTTTCGTCCATTCGCCCGATTCGAGCCCGATACGGACCCTTTCCGTACACGGGAATCGCGAAAACCGCTCGCTTCTGACAGACGCACCCAAGCGCGTCGTCTAAGGTAAAAGTACCAATGCCTGGACAGTGTACTGAACAGTGAAAGAAAAACATCTAATTGAAACTATTGTTATTTTTAGTCCAAACTATATCTTTTGGTTGTTCTAACACGAAAACAGTAGTGATAACACACATATAATTTTATTATTATTAACAGTATAGTAGAATTTAATTAAAAAATTATTTTCTTGATTATAATTTATAGTAATTTTTTTTCTATATGATTGACAAATATCAAACATTTTTTCCTCAGTATAATAACACTGTTATCTAATTCTGGACATTCTTATTGTTTTAGTCTTTAAATAGGAATATATATTTTTATATTTTCAATATAAATATTATATATCTAAAATTTATACATATCTTGTATGTCGAAAGTTTAAATATTCCTATTTAAAAAGTAAAACGATACGTCCAAAGTTAGGTGCCAATGTTATTAGTGTCCAGGCATTCGTGCTTTACACTATAAGGTGTAAATGTACTTTTCAACTATTCGCGTGACCGATTACGCGAGGAATCCGAGATGTGTGCAATGGATGCGCTGTCCGTTTCAAATTTGTCGAGAATGATTTGCTTTCACACAATCTAGACGTTCGATGCCTACCATTAAATCGCAATTCACCGCGAGGAATTTGCGACGTGCGAACTCTCGGACGCGCCGAAACGATTCAGCGCTACCGAATGTCGCGTAAATGGCTACTTAAACATCAATTCTGTCTACTTTACGCGCAGTATCGTTTGCTCGCAGACTTACCTTGATCCTGGGCCCAATTAATAAGCGAAGGAACGCGCGCCTCATAACTGGAATAACAGTTCTCGAAGCGCCCGGACGAATCCAGCCCAACAGTCTCGTAATTGGCTTTAACTCCGCAGAGCAGTGCCGTCGCGCATGCCGACGATTCGCCAACTTGGGCGTCCATGTTGTACGTCTGGAAACAAGGTAACAGCGACTAATTGCGTATTTTCCCATAATCAAATCACGACAATTCGATATAAGTCCTCGAACTTGGAGAGCGCAATTTTTGCTTTTGTATAAGGGATAAAAAACGTGCTTGTTCCAATTTCTCTTTCACAATAATTCGCTACTAATGAGAGAATTGTCGATATCCGAAGATATCGATAACGTAGAAACGATCGTCAAAACGGCACGTCAGATGAGCACTAATAAAATCACACTATCTTCGCATTTCTTGTATATGGATCTGATATAAATGTATGTTGCTTTGTTTTTTTCATCATATTTGGCCCAAAACCTAAACACGTATATATAGAAATATTTTTGCAAACTTTTCGTATATTTTCAGACTTTTAAATTCAGCAAAGAAGCAAACATACTTTTGCATCGGAAAAATATTTACTCTAATTAATAAGTCGAGAGGTGTCGATATTTTAAAATATTTTTATCGTTTTCACTACATATTAAGCAATGCTCCAATTTATTTTTGCACGTACTTTCACCGTGTAAAAACATTGATTCTGCGTAATTAATAAGATTTGCAAGAATATGTCAGTATCTTAGTACAATTTTGATATATGGAATTCTCTTAAATGATAAATGTGAGCTCGGTTAACGTCAAACCCTTGGAAGCAATGTTACTGCGTTACTCTCGTAGTACGCTGCGATCTCAGCGCTCGTATCGCGAGTTAATATGAACACGGTCACGTAAATAAGGTACAGCGACACATGTCACGTGCGTCGCGACGTCGAGTACATCGAGGGAGGAATAATAAGTTGCGAGGTAAAGAGAAATTCCGACGTAAGTGGACATCGCGGGCTTCTCCCGTGCGTCATGACTGGCGATTCTCTCGTGACAGGATAGAGCGATGTGGGACGAAGAATATCAGCCGGGTTTCGTAGGAGCCGCCAGTCGCTTTCAGCGTTCTGGGTAAGCACTGCAACCAGCAAATGGACATTTCCGCCCATTGGCTCACTTCGCGGACCTGCGCCGAGCTTTGATGAAAGCGGCGGCTGTAGCCTATTACCCATTTGCCGGCTATTCGCGGATGGAAATTGCGCGCGAGCATGCCGTTCCTCAAACTTGGCGGGAATTAATAAAAACGATCATTTCGCAGAGCACGCGAGGCGAGGCGAGGCGATTTCACGTTGAGCGACGTTTACTTGCAAATCCTGGTCGATACGTTAAATGTGACACACCCAAAAATATATAATATCATTCTTGATGAAAACCTCGTTAAAAATATTGTGTCCTCTCCTAAAACCAAAAGGGAAATTTTCCAAAAACCAAAAAGACATCTATTTACACCAAAAAGAAATCTATTTACAAAAAGCTGTTGCCTGTAATGCCATGTTCTTGAACGTATTTCTCGTCTGATAATGTCAGACTAATAATAAATAATATTGTACTTAAGATATATTATACTCAAGATTTTCCTCTTGATTGTAGCAGAATCCTCTTAAGAATTATTCTAGAACAAAATTATACAAGAGGATCCTGTCCAAGATGAGATTATGTTACCTTGGATGCATATTCTTGCAAAATATTCGTCGTGACTCTTTTTCTTGGGTACTCTTTGAAATAAGATATTAAATATATTCTTTAATAAAATAGTCATCTCAAATCGGTAGAGAGATCCTCGTTCGACCGAATTCTCCTGTTCTTCTCCACTGCCCGTCACGAATCGATTACGTCTGTCACGATAATCGGGCCCGATTTGCATGGGCGTAAGTGGCAGCTGGAACACACTCGTGCGCATAAATCCCCGCGGCATTATTCAAGCGTGGTGCGCCGTTGCGTAAAATATCGCTGACACCCGACGCTTTTCTTATTGTTCGACAAGCGTGTTCGGATATACCCCTCGGCAGTCCGGCCACTCTTCTTCACACAGACAGTCGATTGATTCGGCTAGGTGTGCGTCGTAGTCGGATCCGGTCCGCCGAATTCCGTTCCACAACACCGGTCGGGAAGAGCCGGTTCCCTCCCGCGCAAGAACACCCATAAAGCACACTCGTCATTATCATACTGAACGCCATGCATCGCCAATTCAAATACCATTATGGATTAACTGCAGGAGCCATACGACACGGTCGATCGCCAAGTGGCGGTAAAGTAGAACGCCCGGATCCCCGAAATGTGCGCGGCCGGCTCGCATAGCCGAGGGAATCGTGCGCACCCGCGCAAACACGTCGCGAAACGCCGATATTCTCCCGACACGAAACTCGAAGGCAACGGGGCGAACGACTGCTTGTTGATATTTGGCGACAAAATTGAAAACTCGAAAACATACTCGGCCAGGCAAGAAAAAGAGAGAAAGAGGGAGAAAAGAGGTAGTCGCAGATATTCTCCTTCCTCCGAAAAGTTTATTGTCCAGTTTTTCCATCCGGAAATATCGCGTAAGCGGTTATCGCGCTCAACTACGATGTAACCATTGGTATCATCCATAACAGAAAAATAAGACTAAAATAGGGGAAATCGTTACGAGGAAAATAAAATAAGATCATAGGAGAAATCGTTACGAGGAAAATAAAATACAAAGTTGAACGCCTAAAAGAATATAATCTTACCTTTAGCGAAATCCTCGAGAGGATTCTTTTAAAAGCAAACACGGAATATTCCAAGCACAATATTCTTAAAGTTAGGGGAGTTTTCATCTTTTATCTACAGTACAAGGCTTGTTCTTGCTGGAAAACGCTTTTAATAAGAGAGCATTTTGCTTCAAGTAAACACGTTCCTCTCGAAAAGAGAAGATTCATAAAGTTAAAATAATGTCTAGCAAATTTCCGGATGGTAATTCACTTAAATTAGAAAAATAAATACTTTTTTGTTAAGAATTTTCGCTTGAAATGTAAAGTTGCAGGAAATGACACCTTGCGACTAGTTCTCTGTTTGAGTACTGGAATATTGTTTTTAAGTTTAAGAAAAAAATCTTCCTCAGACTTTATATAAAAGAATTCCGCTAAGAATAAGATTAGATGTCTAGGTATAGCTTCCGGAATGGAGCCGTGTCTTGAATCAGCAATATGCCTGGCTAGGCATATCGCTGATTCAAGACACGGCTCCATTCCGGAAGCTATACCTAGACATTGTATCAATGGCCGTGAAAGCCTCAAATCTAGTAATAAGATTAGATTTTTGGGTTGGGAGAAACGTATAATATTCGCGAGAGAAGAACGTTATCAGACGCGACATCGCGCTTAATTTTATCGTAATATATGTAGATGTCCAAAAGTTCCCAAATTGACTGTCAATTAGCAAAACTATTTACTTCCCTCGTTCACTCGCATAATGCACCATTTCCGCTTTACCGTGCATTGGACACGGCAAACGTTAACGTCTCGCCAGCCGGCATTGACCCATCACCGTAGCAACCCCGCCGCAGCAATTTCCATCTCGAATACGCATTACCGTCCACTGTACACGCGACTGGAGCATCCCGTCGTATATCTGAGACGCGGTGTCCCAAAAAGCGCTTAATATCGGTTCCGAAGCACGACGCAATGCACGGCGATATCGAGCCAAACAACAGTACTCAATAACCACGGAGGTGTTGTGGATTACGGACATTATCATGGATGCCTTTATCTGGCATTTCACGGACACGAGCACGTTGATAAGATAAATTCCGAACGTGAAGCGTGTGTCTTTTCAGCGAGCAGTCAGGTGAGAGAGCGTCAGCGATCGGGGAAACGGTCGACGGATCGTTAGGAAATATTCGACCTGAAGGGACATGCAGGCGAACCACGAGTGCACTCTGGAGCCGAAACAGCGGAGCGTTCCGCTGTCGGACCAGCCGCAACGAAGCGTGCCGGATGGACCATTCAGTAGAGCAAAGTAAGCACCACTTCGTCACGTCGTGACCGATATAAAACTCCGATATAGAGGCGTGCATCCAGCGGTAATCGACGTATTGACACACTAGATTCCTCTTAGCTCGCTCATGTGCTCTCTCTCTCTCTCTCTCTCTCTCTCTCTCTCTCTCTCTCTCTCTCTCTCTC